AATAACATTAATGAATAACATTAATGAATAACATTAATGAATAACATTAATGAATAACATTAATGAATAACATTAATGAATAACATTAATAATTTAATCGTTAATGCTTCAATAACAACATATAATAACAGTAGTAGAGCAACTCTCGCAAACCGAAAGGGAAGGTCAATCATATAATATTAAAAACTAATGGACTCATTCATTTATACAAAACGAGATTAATGGCTTTTTTTTATTATTGATTGGTCCTCGGTTTCAATGAGAACCCGGTGTTTTGGGGGAGATTTGTAATCGTTATTTTAGTATTCGACAGGCGCCAAACAAGTATCGGAGTGACAACAAGAACGGTTCCATAAATATGTTGTTGCCACAACGACGCCCGGCGTCGGCTCACCATCATCTCTTTCTAACTAAAAGAGTACTGTTATTTGTCTTTGTTTGGATATTCACATTACAACTGTCTTGACCACGAGATTTCCCCCCATTTACTCTGAAAAAATACATATTAAAAACCCCTTTTATTCCTTCCTCTTCTAGATAACGCCTCAGTCTGACCTTGCAACTATTTACCAATTTTGGTGTATGAGTCGCGGGAACCGCCGGAACGGCTCCCTTTGCGCGAGGCTGCGTTTTTTGATGTTCTTTCAACTTATCTCTGTCTCCGTTCATTTGTTTTCTCTCGTTTTTTTTCGTCCTACCTTCGACTATCGCTTATTTATAATTTATTATTTATTATTCATTCTTGATCAAAATTCTCTATCACGCGACTTTCATTTTATGCCGCAGTCGATTTCACCGTCCGCGGATATTCCTCCGTGTATCGGATATCCTGTTCGGGTTAACACGTTTAGAGTAAACAAACATAAAAGAGATCTTAACCCACGCGTCGTCGGGAAATTTTCTGTGCACAATTTCCAATTGTTATTTCCCATATAAAATATATAAAATGCTGTTATAATACTGTAGTGCGACGATTTACAAAATATTCGCATAAAAACGCATATATAAAAAGTGTTACTAAATATTGTAGTAATTTATTGTTTTGCAGTTTTATTTTCTTACATGTCAGTATATATCTGTATATATCTGTATATTATTACCTATCTAGTACTATCTAGTACCTAATTGTTATGCTTTTATATGTTTTCTGTGACTCTTTGACTTTCTCATCGCTTTCTTCTTTATCATGCTGTGTTAAAAAACTTTCTGCGCCATATTTTATGCATATATGCTATGTATACTGCATAAAATAAATGTTGCATACTACTTTTTTTGGTCACTGTATCCCTTTAAGTATTCCCGTTATTCCCCATTTTCTGGTATAATCCGGATGTTCAATGAACATTATTTTTATGTTGTTGTATTTGTGATATTTCGTGTGTGGAGAATGAGTTCGTGCTTGACAATCAATTCAACTTAATTTTCTACTCTATCATTCTAATGTTGTATTTTTCCCGCCTTCTTACCCTCTTCGATTTTTGCCTCCAAAAATGGCTTTTAAGTAAATGCGGCAAGTTCTATACTCTCAATTCGAGTGAATTCTATGATAATAGTCGTTTCTATTTATGGTAGTTTTTATCACTTATCACTATTATACTACCCTTGTAATTTATTTGTGAAAATATGATCTTCTGACTCGTGTGGGAAAATGATATTCTCCGATGTGATTGTGCTTTGTTTGTTGACATTTCATCACTTCTTTTAACTGTCAATCGTTGCGTTTATTCATATATGTGATCTGTTCGATTATCACGTTAATCTTCGAATAATATCGTTATGCGTATTACATACATACATACATACCATACTACGTACGTACAGTACGTACGTACGTATTGTATATATATATGTATACATATACTGTGTATATATTTTTTATCAAAATTCTGTTACGTATTTTAAAATGTTTGCATATCGATATATATTTAAAAACGTTAATTAAATTTAAAAATTTTGCTTTTTAATATCATGCATTTTGTAAACCAATTCAAAAATTTTTCACTGATAACAAAATTCGAATTTTATAGAATGTATTATAACAGATTGTATATAATTTGATAGGTTGGCACCTGTAACTTTAGTTGTATCAGCTTATACTGAGAGGCTATGAAACAGTAGTATAATGTATAAGTTATATAAAACCTGAGTGAAATGGTTGTGTAAATCCAGAGGCTTAGAGTATATAGAAGCTTGTTTGTTAGTTTCAAGTAGAAAGATAATACAGATCTTTGACAGTATTATATAAAGAATAATTATTAGCAATCGAACTGACAATAAACCAAATGAAGATTGGGTGTTTGGCAAAACATTATATCAATCAGGCCAAATGTATATGAGGAAAAATATTTATTGAAATATCAAAAAACACAAGTTTCTTTTGGACCATCTGGATTGAAAGTTTGGGGATGCTATTAGTATTATATATGCCACCAAAATATGTTTTTAAAAAACTCCTATTTCATTTTCATTAGAGCAATTTAGAATTTTTTATATATAAGAGCAAATCTAATTTAGATAATTATATTCATCATAATTTTATCTCTTCAAAAAAAGTATTAAAAAATTTCATCTTTTAAGTAAAATAAGTCAAAAACAAATTCGTCTTCAAATTTTAATTTTGTACTCTAAAACCTAAAATAATTTCGTCAGCATATATAATTAGTATACTAAAAAAGTCAATAATAGTTTGTAAAGTATATACAGGGGTCTGAATGAATTCTACAAAGCAGTAATAGATAATAGTAACAGCTTTAGCTAGCAAATACTTGTTCTCAAACTCAGTATAAATTTAGGTTAACCAGATTATAGGTATAAAAAGTTCTAGCAATGATGTCTTAAGAATAAATTAGTTTTAAGGATTTCAAAGAAAGTATCTGGAACTTCTTTCGACTGATAATTGTAGTAAAAATATACTAGTGATACAAGCTAGATTGCATTATTAAGAATTTAAATAAATAATCCTCTAGTCAGATTGTAGATATGATAGCTAATATAGAATCTATAGTATAAAATCAGTACATAGACTACTTAAATAAGCAAACAAAAGTTACATTGTAGTTAGTTATACTCTCTAATGTAAAGAGTTCATAAATGAGCTTTGTATCTATATATTTGAATAAAAATCTTAACCCAAAGAGACTAATTAATAAAAAAAAATTAAAAAAAAAGATCAAGTTATTTTTTTAATATTAATTTTTTTTTACTATTTAATATATTTAAAATTAAAAAATATTTTTGTTTTATTTATTTTTTTTTAATATCAAAGTGACCTCTTTGTTTGGCTTTTTTTATTTGATTATAGTTTAATCTTTATAGTATATTATAGTATACAGTATATATATTTAGAGTGTATATACTACTATATATACAACTTTTGATTGTTTATTTAAATAGTTTACTTATAACTAACTTTTATATTAGATACTATATTTATAATCTAACTAAGCATAAATATTTTATATTTTTTTATTTTTAGATACTAACTTAAAACTTTAAAGCAGTTTTATATTTTATAGAAAATTTTTATCTTTAATATAAATTTGTCAAAGTTTTTTATATTTACAATTTAGTTAATCTAAACTTTAAAAATTTATACTGAATTTAAGAACAAGTATTTGTAGTCTTTTATCTTTGTTATTATTATCTACTTCTATTCTTATAAAGTTTATTCAAATCTTAATACTTCTCTTTAAGTTTATTTAGTATTTTTTTACTTTTGATATCTTCTAGTTAGTCTCTCTAAACTATCAATTCAAATAATCTAAAAGAGTTATACTAATTTCAAATATTATCTATTTCAATAATACAAATTTTAAAGAATATATAGATAATCAAAATTTAAATTTATAATTTTAGCTAAATAAATATATAAAATAAACTAAAATTTATAGTAAAATTTTATTATACAAAAATACAATATTCAATAAATTTTTATACAAAATTTTCTTTTATAATAATATTTAAATTTTTATAAATTTTCAGAATTCTAATAGTATTATTATTTTTTTTTAAGTTTTATAACTAGCCTTTTTGGGACTAAGGTTTTTATTCAAGTATATAGATAAAGAACTTGCTTAAGAAACCCTATACATTATATTACAAATGCACTCAGCTTGTATCACTGATACATCTCTGCTATAATTATTTATCATAAGAAGTTCAGATGCTTTTTCTATATCCTTAGGACTAATTTATCCTTGAGACATTATTAGTTAGAGCTTTTCATATCTACAATCTGGCTAATCTAAACTTCAGTAATTTATATTGAGTCTGAGGACAAGTACTTGCGAGTCAAAGCCACTACCATTATCTACTTCTGCCTTTGCAAAGTTTACCCAAACCCCAGTATACACTTTATGAATTAATACTAACTTTCCTTTACCAATAGTGCCCAAACTTCCAATTCAAATAGCTTAAGAAAGAATTAGTAGACATCTCTTTGATATTCTGATTGAATTCTTTTTTCTTGTTTATATAGAGCCACTCTCAAATACACACAGTCTGATTGGTATTAGTGTTTGCTAAATACCCAGTTCTTGTCCAGTTTACTGCTAGTGTCTGATTGCTAATGATTCTCTTTTATATAGTATTGTCAAAGATTTATGCTACCTCTCTACTCAGAACTTGTCAAGCGGGATTCTGTATACCCTAACTTTTGATTTACACAAGCATTTTACTTGGTTTTGTGTAATTCATATGTCATACTATAGTTCTACATTTTTTCAGTACAAGCTGGTATGACCAAAACTACAGATCTGATGATCCATCAGATTATATACAGTCTGCTATAATACATTCTGTAAAATTCAAATTTTATTGCTAGTAGGATTTGTACTCTTGTTCTGTCGCTTGGGGTATGACAACTTACTAACTTCACTAAGTCGCCACACTTTTATTCTAATAGTATTATTAAAAATGTATACTATCTCTTTACTTAGAATTTGCTAAACAGATATCTATTTTTCTGATTTTTTGGTTTTATATAATTACTAAAACTTATTATAATTTTGTACTAATTTAATATTGACTTATAGATCTTTATTTAACTTATATATTATACAAATACTTAATAAAAAAGTGTGTGTTAATTTATTGAAGTTGGTAAATTATTATACCTCTAAGTGGCAGAACAAAAGTTTAAATCTCACTAATAATAAAATTCGAATTTATAGAATGTGTTATAGCAAACTGTATAATCTATCAATCAGATCAGTAGCTGTAACATTAATTATATCAGCTTATACTAAGAAGTTGTAAAACAATAATATGATGTATAAGTTATACAAATCCTGAGTAAAGCAGTCAAATTAATCTAAGAAATTAAGGGATATAGAAGCCTGCTTGGGAAGTTCTAAATAAAAAAGTAGCACAGATCTTTGATAGTACTATATAAAGGATTATTATTTAAGAAACCAAACACCAAAAGCAAACTAAACAAGAACTAAGTACTATACCAACTAGGCTACCAGATAATTAGAAAAAAGAATTTATTTAGAATACTAGAAGATGTCTACTAATCTCTTTCAGGCTATTTGAATTAGAAATTTAGAATATTGACAGTTGGCATCGAAGTATTGTTGATAGTCTGTAAAGTGGATGCTGAGGTTTGGTGAACTTTATACAAGCAAGAAATAAGTAATAGTAGCAAATGTAAAATGCTGCAAGTACTTGGTTATGGTTGAAGTATAAGTTACTAAAAAAACTAAGTAATACAGTAATAGTAGATACCAGACTGCTCTAGCAAATAATATACTCAAAGATAAATTGGTTAACTAAGCCAATAGTTTTATAAGTAGTTTGTAATAATATAGAACTTAAACTGACTAATGTATTACATATTTTAGAAGAAGTTAGATAGATTGGTATAGAAAACTTAGATTAGAAGGTTTAAATAGAGGATTTACAAGCAGATCTCAGATATAGTATATGATGGATAACTATAATTAATAATAAATATAGCAGAGTTCTTAAAAAGACAATAATTAAAGTTGTATATATAGCTAAATATATTCTCATCAGAATATACTTGTCTAAAACCTCTATAATAAAGAACACTACTTGATTTTACAATCTAATAAAAGCAATAAGCTGAAGAGACTAACTTTAATTATGAAAAAAATAATAATAATTAAAATTATCAAATCAATTTCAAAGTTAATATCAATTATTATTATATAATATCTCTCAAATCAATTTATTCATATTATCATTTAATCTGTGACTATAAAGATTATTTATTAGTTAGTAGTAGCATTAAATCAACAAATCAAGTTTATATAAATACTTATTTACTATTCATAATGTTTCTTCAAATAGTTTTATTTATATTAATTATTTTATTTATCT